TTGATTTTATATTTTTAAAAGGAATTTTTATAACACCTGGTAACATTTGGAGACTTGTTCAGTCGCCAGGAGCCGCTTTGATTCTTTGGATTATTGGCGGTTGTATTAAATTATATAGTTGCTTTGTTTGGTGGTCAATAGAAAAAAAAAAAAGACGAAAAGGGATTTGGTACTCGAGCATATGGATTTGCATTCGGTTCTCGAATGTTAAAATTTTTATTTGGTTTCGCTACTATCAAGTATGTAGATATCTTTATTTCACGTGATTGACAATTATATATACATATATATATCTACTTAATATTGTTATCGTTATACTGTGTTTCAATTACTTAAAGTATAATTATACCCGGAGCAATTATAGCCAATTCTTTCATTACCGCTAAATATCTACTCTATGCAATTGGAGGAGGTAATGGCGGACAATTTCGACACTATGGCGAGGATTTTGGTTCATATTTTGATAAAGATTTCCTGTAAGTACGTAATATTAATCTTACAAATCATTTACATCAAACATTTAACTTAAGAATTTTATCAAATTCATAGTGTATTACGTTTTCTGGCAATTTTTATTTTGGCCATTACCACTGCATATCACATTCTAGCTATTAAAAAAAAATATGAAAGTTACGCAGTCTGCATAGATCAAATATTGGTCTTGTTTAAATATGTATCTCTATTTGCTTTGGCTATCATTGGTTTATGCAAAACAAATGACAAGGACTTTAGTGATACGTATAGAGATAATTGGCATAAAGCTTTCAATAATACATTATCACCTAACGTTTCATATACCAGAACTGTTTCAGAATATATCGGAAGTTATGGCAGTGCTATGATACAGGTATATATTTATCTTATACAAAATTTTAAATTTCAAGCTTAAAACTTACGTAATGTTTACAAATAGATACTATATTCATATGAAGGTTTGTTGAAAATTTTTTGAATTCTTTTACATTTAGTATTTTAATATATGATGAAATAATTAATAAGTTATAACAAACATTCAGGATGGGATCATTTAAAATGTAAGTTGATTCGTACGAAATATTTATGATTGGTCAATGAGATATTAAAGACATTTGAATTTTTTTTTAGATTCATCTGAGGAGTTGAGAGTTGAAAGCCCATTCCGGAAATACTCAGCACTTGTTAATGTTTGTATTACTATGGTGCTTTGTGAGTTGTCAATTTGTTATGATCTACTTACGCCATTTTAAATTATTTTGAATTATTTTAAATTATTTAAATTATTTTGAATTATTTTAAATTATTTAAATTATTTAAATTATTTTATGTTTTAATAATGACCACAATGTTGTAGCGAATCCAAAAATTTCTAACGAAAGTATTGCTATTGATTATGGAATAAAATTATTTGGTGAAGCCGGAAGAAAATTTGTATCTTCACTTATCGCAATTTCTGCCTTTAGTTCTGTGGATTCTATGGTTACGCTGTAGGTTTATTAAAGTATTATGTATTATGCATTTATGTATAATATGCATTTATGTATAATATGATATAATATGATACAATATTTAGCCAGAATTCTTATTATAATTTGTATATTATAAACTTTATAACAATTTTGTTCAGACACTGTTACTCAAAATCCTAGCATTATTTTTGATCATAGCAAATTTACTTCTCTTCCTGAAAATATCTTGCTTTTTATCTTAAAGCTCGATAATTTACAAATAGACGAAGGAACAATTTGGGATTGTGTAATTAGATGGGGAATTGCCCAAAATCCTTCTTTACCTCTTGATCCTAAACAATGGACTGATAGTGACTTTTTAACAATGAAATATACTCTTCAAAATTGTCTTCCTTTAATCCGTTATTATCGAATTTCTGAAGAAGATAGTTCTACGAAAATTCTTCCTTATCAGAAAATGTTTGATGAAACTTTATGGGATGTTATTATGCCCACAGAGCAGGCCACTTTTCCTCAATCTTATTTCTCGGTTTCTACACCTACTTCATCACCAACTACTCCATCATCAACTACAAGTATACAAACATTAAGTCTAGATAATGAAATCGATGT